TGGCCAGGCGGGGCGCTGGAAAGTGTGAGCAGGGCAGCGAGTAGCGGAAACCTGGAGCCAGCTGGAATCCTGGGTTCGCTTCCTCTTTCAGGCCGCTTGATTTTGGGAAAGTGATTTGACTGTTGAGGTTGATGTGAGATTTCGTGGGATACTTGGCAAGGTGCTTTTGCTAGATGAGTGGTAGCGAGATACAGTGCCCTCGGAACTCGGGAAAATCCTACCAAATAGACAGGGGAATGGCTCTGCTACCTTCACCAGGGGGCGGGGGTGGAGGACCTGTTCGGAAAGTAAAGGAACGGATGATTTCCCAAGTTGGTGGAACCTTGGCAGGTCTCCCCCCCAACACCTCCCCCAACAGCCCTAGCACAGTCGGAATCCCTTCCCCTCAGGGAGCTCTTGCAACCTCCTCCCCACGCCCCACCTCCCATTTGCCCTTCCATCTCTTTGCATGGGACAGGAGAGAGGGTAGCAAGCACCCCTCACACTCCACCCCCTTCTCCCCTTAGTGAGGTAAAGGCTCCTATTCTAGCAGGTTTATATTCTGCATGTCAGGAGTTGCTTTCCTTTGTTCACCAGTTCTTACTCTGGAGCAGTAGAGGTCCAGACACCCCCAACTCTGTACTTACGGGAAAACAGTCACTAAGGAACAGTACCAGATTACGGGGGTGGGGTTGAAAACAAAATGAATACCTTTTAGCAAAGTTTTACCCCTCTCCTCCTGATATCTGGGTGGTGGCCTCAGTCCTTTAGCCTGCTGTCCTCAGAGCAGACTCTGCCTTGGGCACTGTCCTCTTTCTAGAGGGGCGCTCTCTGGAGGCAGAACCCACCTTGGCTGGCTGACCAGTGCTTGTCTTCTGGCTCAGTGGATTCTATCTACCAGTCCTCCCTTCCCCTGCGCACTCCATATGTACTCCCACCTAGTAGGGAGAGGAGGCTGGACATGGTCATATATGAGGGCTTTAGGTGTTTTAGAAGTCATAAAAAGTGGCTTTAGTCAGTTTAAGCAAGAAAGGGAAATTATTGAGTGCGACTGGGCATCTCAAGGAACCCAAGGGCTGCTGGCATTTGTGTGAGCCTGCAGTAGCCAGGTATCCTAGGTCTGCTTGTTGCTTCTGTTTCTCTCCCTGCTTCAGCTTCCCATGGCCCCAATGCACTCCCACCAGCTTTGACTTGATGACATCTCTGTACCTCTGTATTATTTTCCAGAGACTGCCGTAATAAATTGCTGCAAACTAGGGGCCTTAAAACAACAGATTTATTCTCTTACAGTTCATGAGGCCAGAATTTTGAAATCAAAGTGTCAGCAGGATTGACTCTTTTTCAAAGTTCTGAGGGAAAATCCATTCTGTGCCTCTCCTAGCTTCCGATGGCTCCTGGCAGTGCTTAGCATTCCTTGGCTTGTAACTGCACCACTTCAATTTCTGCCTCTTTCTCCTCTGTGTTTCTGTGTCTTCTTTTCTGTCTAAGGACACTTGTGAATGGATTTAGGGCCCACCCCAATCCAGAATGATTTCATCTTGAAATCCTTACCTTAATTCCAGCTGCAAAGACCCTTATTCCAAATAAGTCCACATTCTGAGGTTCTAGGTGGATATATCTTTTGGGGAGCCAGTATTCAATATACTATAGGTCCTTTCTCCAAATTGCTGGAGGGAAGAATCTGTTTGGTCAGAGGAACAGGGTCATCAGAGTGGCCATTTGTCATTTCTTGGCTGCCTTGCACCTGAAGAGCCTTCCTATTGAGGAATTTGAATGCATGAGCACCTCCTTCCTCATTTATGGCAATTAGGAACTACCACTTGGAACTTAGGCTCTGGGCTAGTGGCAGTTCAGAGTACATTTGTGTTGTGGCAGCAACTGGTTAGGGTTAGGCAGTGACCAGTGGTAAAAGAGGTGGCCAGCATCCTGACCTATGCATGCCTTCCCTGTGCATTCGTGGTTTTACACACACACACACACACACACACACACACGCTCATTTTCCAAACCTGGTTCTCTAGTCTTCCCACTGAGTGCACAAGAAACCCCATAGTAGATATTTTCCTAGTAGGGCTTTTTTTTTTTTTTGCTTGAGTTGGCTATGTTTAATATCTATGGTTTGCTAAATAAAACACTGAGTTAAATGCGTAGATTGCCAAATCATAGTGAGTGGCTGAGACAACCCATATACCATATTATTGTCTGTTTCTGTTTTGTTTGTTTTGGTTTGTGTTGTCGTTGTTAATCCTCACCCAAGGATATTTTTCCCATTGGTTTTTAGAGAGAGTAGAAGGGAGGGAGGAAGGAAGAGAGAGAGAGAGAGAGAGAGAGAGAGAGAGAGACATCCATGTGAGATGTTTGCCACCTGCACCTGTCCCAACTGGGGCTGGGGATGGAACCTACAACCTAGGCATGTGCCCTTGACTGGGAATCGAACCTGCAAACGTTCAGTGCACAGGCCGATGCTCCAACCACTGAGCACCACCGGCCTAATCTTGTTGCCTATTCTGGACCAAGTACAGTGCTAGACACTGAAATAACAGGGGTGAAAAACTGGCTGATGGGGGCCAGGAGCTCTGAGTCTTGTAAGATGAGGCTTCAATGCTAGCAGAACCCTTGGAGAGTATTCATCCATCCACTGCACCTTATACATGGAAACAGATGGAAGATGGGGAGGTCTTTTCTATAGGTTACCCCAGGGATCACTAGTAGTCAAACCTGGACCAGACTCAGGAGTCCTTTCAGCCCTCATTCCATGTTTTTCCATCACAATCAATCAGTACATATACAGTGAGTGCCTACTGTATGCTGCCCTGTGCCAAGTGTCTGTGGAGAATCAGGCATACTATATAGTCTTGGGGCAGGAGAGACATGGCCACAGAGAGGTGACCTGCTACTGGCTAAGAGAAGTGGTGAGGGTCCACTCAGAGAACAAATCGAAGGATCATTGTGTACCTCCCCAAAGTGAAGGAGGTGTTCAGAAAAGGCCTCCTGGCAGAGAGGGGTTTGAGAAGGCCTTGAAGGATAGAAGGGATGTGAATAGACAATCTAGGTAAAAGGGAGCAGGGGGATGACTGTGGCAACAATTTGTTGGCCAGTCTGGTGGGCCTTATGTGGGGATCCAGTGAGAGAAGAGCAGGGGTCGGTTGGATGGGCCTTGAATGGCTCTGGTGGCCTTTCTTCTTCCTTTCTGTCTCCTCTACCTCCTGCTCTTTCTGAGTAAGGCTGTCAGAGGTGTTCTAGTGGCTTACTGCACAAGGGCATCCAGGGCAAGTGGTGACTAAAATCTAGCCTCTCCACCACCCACCAAGCTATGCACCCTGATGTGGGACTGCTCTGCCCAGAGAATTGTGCTTTTCACATGTGCACAAAGACAACCTTAGGAGCTAGCAGTGACTCCGTGCTCTCACTTGCTTTTGTCTCCTCCTCTGCCTATACCTTAGTGACCTGGCCACATGGCATCTTAGCCCTGCTCTGCCTGCTCCTGGCTCTTGGGCCTTGCTTGTGGCAGCTCCCCCCTGAACATTAGTGCCTGCCCCTGGTGCTTTTCATAAGTGCATCTGAGGCTTGGGGCCCTCCTACAAGGGACCCAATGAGGATGGAGCTGAATGCTGAGAGGATGAGAATGAGATGATAGCTTAGGCTCAGACCTGTTCCTTATGAGGCTGAGTTTTTTCCTTAAGAGAAAAAGTCTGGGCCCTTCTAGGAGCATATGTATCCTTGCTGGAGAGGATGAAAGTTTCTCAGAGCACATTTGTGGAAGCTCTTATTCCCAGAGCACAATAGGATGCAATGTGGACATGTAATAAATCCAACCACAGCAGGCGCCGAGATGGTGAGGGCTGCACCAGGTGTTCTGGCTGCCTGATGTGTGAACCATCCAGCTGCCAATCTGCTGCGGGGTGGGTGGGGTGGGTGGAGATGGGTGGGTCGGACAGATGTCTCAAGGGACTGGATTAAACTGGAGTTTCTCACACTGTGGTCACCTGGGATGTAGTGAAGATGGGGGCTCTATCTCAGATGCTGACAATTAGAATCTCTGGAAATCTGGACCACATGCTGTGGTCTCTATTTGCTGACACTTAGAGTCTCAAGCTTTACCATCCACCCTCTTATCCTATGCTTGCCTAAGCCCTTGAAGCAGATCGGGCATGTTTCTGTGGCAGCTCAGAGGTGCTACCTGTGATATCAAGGCTGGGGCTCCTCCTGTGGCTTTGCCTGCCTGTCTGACAGCTGGGGGGAGTGAGGTGAAGGGAGGGTCCTTGAAAGACATGCAGGGGCCAGATGGTACAGATCTGTTCTGGGCAACTCTGGGCAACTCTGGAGATCCAAGACCACTGTGGAACTAAGCAGGGTGGTGTTTTCAGTTCATTATTGAGACGATCTTTCTGAATGAACACACTGATGAAGGAACCAACTTTCTGG